ACCTTCACCTTGTCTTTTGTCCAGAAATGAAGAATCTGTCCCAGATGACACTGAGTGTCCAAGGCCCCAGCTGCGTCTTAAAGAAATACCGACTGGTCCTCCACACCTCTGAGGAGGAGTCGGAAAAGGCGAGAGTCTACCGGCCCCAGAGTGAGTGTCCCTGCACCAGCTCTGCCTGGGCTTTCGACGTCCAGGGTGGGGGCCTGCTGGGGGCCTAGCACTGCAGGTCAGGGGCTGTTGTGGCTGAACTTGTGTCCTTGGGATTCTCTGGCCATCACCGTCCACATAGACCAAGTCTGTACACAGGGGTGAGTTATCGTAGCTCCAAGCCACTTTCTTCCATCTGTAACACATGGGTGGTGATGCCAGCCCTGTAGGACTCTTGTAGCCAGAAAGGAGGACTGTGTGTTAGTGGATGTGGTAGCTTTCACCTTACACAGGTTAGATGACATCTCCCAATAACTCCTCTCAAAAAAACCGGTCTTCAACCGGGCTCGGTGGCTCAGCCTGTAATCCTAGCACTTTGGGAGGCCAAGGCGAGTGAATTACCTGAGACCTTGTCTCTACAATAAATCAAAAACTAACCAGGCATGGTAGCACGCGCCTATAGCTTCGGCTACTTGGAAGACTGAGGCGGAAGGATTGCTGGAGCCCAGCAAGTCGAGGCTGCGGTGGCCAGGAGCGTGCCACTGCACTCCAGTCTGGGTGACAGAGTGAGACTCCAACTCAAAAAAAAAAAAAAAAAAAGAACATCCTATCTTCGTTCTTAACTAAGACCCACCATATTCAATCTCTACAAGCCAAGGCTAAAAAGCCAGAGTTGCAGCCACAAGTGGCACCTATGTCCCATCCTCACCACGCCATCCACCCCCATCCTCAGCCTTTCTCCCCCCTGGGGAGGCAGATAGCATGCCCTTTTCTATAGGTAAAGACCTGAAGGGCCACCAGTCTTGGCAACAGATGTGCCCAATTCCAGCCAAGTACCCTCAACTAAGTTGTTTGTTTCCCTATGCTGTCTTGATATTTCATGCCTCGAAACTTCTCAAATTGAGATCTCTGCTTTTGGAAGCATAACCACCACCTTTTACAAGTCAGTATGCTGCTGCCTTTAATTTATTTATTTTTTTTTTTGAGTTGGAGTCTCACTCTGTTGCCCAGACTGGAGCGCAGTGGCCGTTCCCAGCCACTGCAGCCTCGACCTGCTGGGCTCTGGCAATCCTTCCGCCTCAGCCTTCCAAGTAGCCAGAACTACAGGTGCGCGCTACCACGCCTGTCTCATTTTTTATTTATTGTAGAGATGAGGTCTCACCAAGTTGCCCAGGTGGGTCTCGAACCCCCGGGCTCAGGCAATCCACTCACCTCAGCCTCCCCAAGAGAGGGATTACAGGCTGAGTCACCGAGCCCGGCTGCTGCCTTCTTTTAAAGTCACGTTTACCTTCAGCTAGGCAGTCCGGAAGCCCCATGGTCTGTGCCTAGTCTCAGAGGGGACTGTTTCTGCCACCACCCTGGGGAACACTCCTCTGCCACTTCCTCGCCTATGCTCACAGCCTCAGTTCCTGGTCTTTCTTTCCATCTCTTCTGTAGACCAGAGGTCACTGCTGGACTTGAATGTGGCCTGGGATTAGCCAGGAGAGAAAGCCTAGGTTGGATCGGATGTGGTCTTTTTACACTTGAGCTAGGAGTGGGCCCTAGAGACCCATGGGTCTGGGTCTGCCTCAGAGGGCCACTCTGGTGCAATGAGACCTACCAAGGACAGACAACTGTTTGGCTGGTCTAGGTCCAGTGGGCCTGGGAAGTCCACCCAGGAGTCTACTGGCTCATGTAGCCTCCTAAAGATGCCATACTTCGTCACGTGGCTTGCAGCGAACAACTTGCTTCTCTCTCTCTTAAAAAGTTTATGGTTGGGCATGGTGGCTCAGCCTTTGGGAGCCTAAGGCGAGAGGATCGCCTGAGCCCAGGGATTCGAGACCAGTCTGGGCAGCTTGGTGAGACCTCATCTCTAAAATAAACCACAAAAATTAGCCAGGCTTGGTGGTGTGTGTCTGTAGTTCCAGCTACTTAGCCTAGCAGTTCGAGACTGCGATGGCTGTGAGTGTGCCACTGTACTCTAGCGTGGGCAACAGAGTGAAACTCTAACTCAAAAAAAAAAGCTTATTTCAGGCCAGGCACAGTGGCTCAAGCCTGTAATCCTAGCACTTTGGAAGACTGAGGCGGGAGGATTGCTTGAGCCCAGGAGTTTAAGACCAGCCTAGGCAACGTAGTAAGACCTTGTCTCTACCAAAAAAATTATTCAGGTATGGTAGCGTGTACCTGTAGTCTCACCTACTTGGGAGGTGGAGATAGGAGGATCACTTGAGCTCGGGAGTTTAAGACTGTGGTGAGCCATGATCATGCCACTGCACTCCAGTCTTATGACCAAAAAAAAAAATAAAAATGCAAACATCTAGAGCAATACAACACAGTGTCTTAAGACCTCCAGGTACCTCTGAAACATGCTAAGGCTAGAGCCACTCATCTAAACAATATAGCAAAGGGGTCTGGGAAGAAGTTTCCAGAGAAATAGAATGCCAGCTCACAAGGTTTTAGAAATAAAGGCAGCCTTTCAGGAAAGCAGCGACCAATCATGGCAAATGCTGCTGAGACTAAGATGCCCGTGCCCCTAGTGAAGTCATGGTCCTCAGAACAACCATCAAGAGTGACCCTGTTAAGAACAGAGGGATTAGCCGGGTTTGGTGGCTCAGCCTGTAATCCCTCTCTACAGTAAATCAGAAATGAGCCGGGCATGGTAGCGCGTGCCTGTAGTTCCAGCTACTTGGAAAGCTGAGATGGAAGGATCGCCGGAACCCAGCAGGTCAAGGCTGCGGTGGCCGGGAGCGGCCACTGCACTCCCGTCTGGGCAACAGAGTGAGACTCCAACTCAGGAAAAAAAAAAAAAAAAGAACAGAGGTATTAAAGCCAGGTGGATAGGGGCAGGCACAGCAAATGCAGACCATGGAGAGAATTTGCCATAAAGGGAGTCGTGTGGTGGTGATAATGAGGACTGGCAAGGAATGTGGGGGGGCGCATCTGAAGATGGTAGAATGCCAGCACATCTGTGAACACACGAGCCTGAGCCAGCTAAGGTGAGGTATGGAGCCAGGGGAAGAGAATCTTAGGAACACGGTATACAGGCGGGGAAGTCAATGGACAGGAATGACCCAATAGTGTTTCCAGGTGGTAACAGGCTCACTCTGAGGTTTGGTCATATCCCAAAATGAGGCTTTCCCACGTGGTGGTTTTTCTTGCTGCGAGAGTGGATTTTAAGGACGTGGCTTAACCAGAGTTGGGGTTTTCCAGGCCAGCAAGTTAAAGGTGTGGGAGTGACAGCATGTGCGGAGGAGTGGGTACAGGGTAGATCTCAGGCTCTGAGAAGGGCAGGCGGGAGGGAGGAGGCTGTGGGTCGGCAGCAGAAGGATCTGGGGCTGGAGACTCACCGAGGTGGCTGCATGGGAGAGCCAACCAGGTCTGGCTTGAAGGTGGCATCTAGTCTGGCTATCACTGTTGGAATAGGACCTTGAAGCAGAATGGCCATGAACACAGCAGCCACTGTTGGCACGTAGGAGCTAGACACAGAGGTGTCTGGCATGGGACGTACAGGAGGTCTGAGGAGCATGTGGTTCCCAATCTTTTGGGCTCTGGTGGCCAAGGAGGATATAGTTTTAGGGTTCCCCAAGTAAGAGTCTACCTGAAGGCTTTAAATGGGAACAGCCGGCAACAGGACCAGAGCTGCCATGTCAGGAAAGGATAAGAAGGACAGAGACCGTAAGGCTGGGTAGGAGGAAGTTCCAGCGGCCCAGGAGGAAGAAGCTCGGTGCCCTTGGACCAGGGTGCTCTGGCATGGAAAACGGACAGATCTGGGATCTAGTTAGCGAGAGAGAACTGTTTTGTGGGGCCAGCCTCCTCCTGGTCTTTTCCATGAATGGTTTTTGTGTTTAATTGACCCAAGTAATCAGAAGGACGTGAGCTTGTAGAAGTATAAGAACACATGGCTAGCCGGGCTTGGTGGCTCAGCCTGTAATCCCACGCCTTGGGAGGCTGAGGTGAGTGGATTGCCTGAGCCCGCGGGTTCGAGACCCGCCTGGGCAACTTGGCGAGCCCTCATCTCTACAATAAATCAAAAATCAGCTGGGCATGGTAACGCACTCCTGTAGTTCCAGCTACTTGGAAGGCTGAGGCGGAAGGATCACCGGAGCCCGGCAGGTCGAGGCTGCGGTGGCCAGGAGCGGCCACTGCACTCCAGTCTGGGTGATAGAGTGAGGCTCTGACTCAAAAACAAAAACAAAAGCAAAAACAAAAAAAAAATGGCTTCTTCAGAAGCCCCTAACAGACGCATAGTCCATCCTGCAGATGGCTTCCCTAACCTTCCTGGTGTCAGGATGGGTCTGACCTTCTCAGGTGAGGCTGCCAAGTCCGACTTTGTACACCAAGTTTCTTGCCTTTAGACTTTGATATTCTCCCAAAAATTGGGTTCATGAGCTAAAGCGTGGGCCCACCTACATGAGTCTTCACCCCACACACAGAAGTCTTGAAGGCAGGTGTCATCTGAGTCCCCAAGTCTTGAAGGCAGGCATCATCTGAGTCCCCAAGTCTTGAGAGGCAATGAATCTTCTAAGTGTGTCGAATGGCCCTTGCTTGTGAGCAAACATCTGGTTGTCTGCTAAGCCCTGAATGTTACAAACACGAGGACGGACAGGCCAGCGTGGCTCCAGCAGCCCAGTTTCTGACACGAGGAATGAGCCAGTCCCTTGACCATCACATGTGGTGACCGGCACAGGCTACCTCAGGGGCCGGTCTGTACCTTCTCTCTCTCTTAGAAGACAGCTCTAGCGTGTTTGAGCTGGCACTGGGGCCCGGCCAGCACTCCTACACCCTGGCCCTCCTCGGGGACCACCTGAAGGAGACCCTGTATGTGGAAGCTATCGAGTTCCCATCTGCCAGCTTCTCAGGCCTGATCTCCTACTCTGCCTCCCTGGTGGAAGATTCTCAAGACCTGGTATGTCCACGGATGCACAGAGTCCTTGGACTAGGATGATGGGGTGGATGCCAGGGGTTGGGGAGGTGAGGCATGGTGGGCTCTAGAGGCGGGGTGCTGGAGTTACGGGAAGGAAGCCGCAGAAGGTGGGGGGACCCTACAGGATGGGAGGGAGCAGACGTGGAGGCAGGCTGCCAATGGAACCTCGGTTTCTGCTACAGTCAGTCCCAGAGACCCCAGTGTACCAAGACACGGTGGTGTTCCGAGTGGCCCCGTGCATCTTCGTTCCTAGCACCCAGATGCCTCTGGAGGTGTACCTGTGCAGGTAAGACCCTGGCTGCCCACACCAGGTGGTGTTCATAATTGTGCCTTCCTCCTGCTACGTGCAGAGCGAGTGGTAAAGGATGTCTCACCAGAAGAGTGAGAATTCTCCTTCTGAGCAGACTGGCCCGGCCTCAAGACAGTTATCTGATAGGTGTGTCTGAATACCCCCAAAGCCAGGGGTAGGACAGTGAATGAGGCAGTCCCCCATTTTTTTTCCTTTTTTTTTGACTCGGGGTCTCACTCTGTCGCCCAGGCTGGAGTGCAGTGGCACACTCACAGCTCACTGCAGCCTCAAACGGCTGGGCTCAAGCGATCCTTCTGCCTCAGCCTCCCAAGTAGCTGGGACTACAGGCACACGCCACCACACTCAGCTTTTTTTTTTTTTTGTAGAGATGGGGGTCTTACTATGTTGCCCAGGCAGGTCTCAAACTCCCGGGCTCAAGCAATCCTTCTGCCGTGGCCTCCTAAAGTGCTGGGATTACAGGTGTGAGCCACCACCCCTGGAAAGTCCCCCATTCTTATGGAGGGTCAGACAATAGGGCTTTTGGTAGCACCGTGTACCCTAAATCAGGGCAAAGGATGGAGAGGTAAGAGCAAGAAAGTGTGTCCCGGGGATGACGGGGCATCTGCAGAACCAGAAGCAAACAAGCAGGAGCTGGAGGGCGGGTGGGGGAGGAGCTTAGGCGGGCAGGGCGTTGTGGGTCCGGGATGTTAGGGCAAAGCCTTGTGGGCCCCTCCGGACCCTGAACACAGTGGCTCCGGGCTCCCTTTTGTCTGCTGCTGCCTCTCGCCCTATGCTGCCATGAGGAGCCCTGGCTCCTTTCAGTCTTGCTGTAATGCTTTCCCCTGGGGTGGTGTCTTTGCCTTACGATGGAAGCTGAGCACGCACATTCTAGGCCCAGGCCGCAGGAAGGGGAAGATCTCAGTCCAGGCGGCGCTGCCTGCGGTTGCTGCTGGGGGCCAGGGAGTCCCCGGAACTGCTCCTCATGTGCCCAAGGCCTGAGGAGGCCGGGCCACAGCCAGCTTCAGGCAGACCGGAACGGTCTCTAGCGCGTGGCCACGTGCCCAGAGAGAAGGGGAGGGAGGATCCAGCGGGCACAGCTGGGGGAAAGCCACCAAGGGGTCTGTGTGCACCAGTGCTCGGCGTGAGGACAACTGGGTACAAGTAAAAGGCAGAGGTGAGTGGATTGCCTGAGCCCGCGGGTTCGAGACCCACCTGGGCAACTTGAC